ACCCTAAACCGAACCCTAAACCCGTTTTAAGGCTTAGGGTCCATGTCCTCGCAGGCGCCTACCGAGAAAGCTCGGCTCGGATCGGGGTCCTTTAAGGGGAGGTTCCTTTAAGGGTTCTGGTTTAGGGTTTAGGGTTTAGGGTTTAGGGTTTAGGGTTTAGGGTTTAGGGTTTAGGGTTTAGGGTTTAGGGTTTAGGCTTCTTTTTCAGGGTTCCGGGATTACAAGGGCTCCTTTTAAAGGGCTCCGTTTAAAGGGTTCTTGTGCTGGTTCTTCTTTTGGGTTAGTATGAAGGTTCTCAGGAGGGTTTAGAGATTTACGGCTTAGGGGTTAAGCGCTTGCGGGTTTAGGGTTTGCGGATTTGGGGTTCTTCAAAGCCCTTTCAGGGTTTAGGGTTTGGTGCTATAGGGAGGTCTTTAGGGTTTGGGGTTTAGTTTTTAGGGCTTAGGGTTTGGGGTTTGGGAGCGTTGGGTTTAAGAATTCTGTCCCTTCAGTTATGTTGAAGGTCCCACTGGTTCTGGTTTACGGAACTGTCAAGGATACCCTGGAAGGAACCCTCATACTTCTTGGATCAGGGTAGCTCGCTCAGATAAGCCTTAGGGCTTTAAAGGGCGTCAGGCTCGGAGGGCTTTGGGGTTTTGGGGCTTTGCCCCAAAACCCGAAACCCCAAAACCCTAAACCCTCAACCCCAAAACCCTAAACTCCAAACCTCAAAGCCCTAAAACCCTAAACCCCTGCAAAAGGGTGCTACGGCAAGCGCACAGGCGTATCCTCAAGAGACCCCAAAGCTGTAGAAGTCTTTCGGGCTTTACGGCTTTAGGGTTTTAGGGTTTTGGGTTTTGGGGCTTTGGGTTTTGGGTTTTGGGTTTACTTGGAGGGTCGGGGGACTTAGTGAATGGTTCTTTTATAGACTTATAAGTACTCTAACCCCAATTAGGGTCCCTTCTAGCGTACTTATAAGTCTACTTCTTACCTACTTACTAAGTCTCCCGACCCTCCAAGTAGCTGTTCAGGGCTTTAGGGTTTTGAGAGCTAGGCCTGATCCGTCGTCTCCCTCTTCGAGATTCTGGTCTTTCTCATCCTTCGAGTCCTCGCAAGTGGCGGAAAAAGGATCCGAATGACGTGAAACGTAGTGACTCATAGCGCAGGGTTTAGGGAGGGTTTAAATCGGGTAGACCGCTGGTTAGTAAACCCTTCTCCTTTAGAGATCAAGTGGGTGTATTGATCAGGGGTTGATATTGCGGCCTAGGCTTTGGAATGAAGGTGACTTCCCTGCTCTGCAAGTATGCAACCACCTCACAAGACTTCATGAATTCCGAGCTCCTCCTGCTTTTTTGTCTTCGTGTCGAGCTCCTGAGACCAGCACGCAAAACGCTAAACCCTATAAAACCTAAACCCTGAACCCTGAGGTAGGGTTCGGGGCTCAGGGCTTCAGGGCTGTAAGGTGAAAAGCTCTGGGACTTGAAGATCTTGAGTTTGCAATGCAATATAAGGCTTTAGGAAAGCATGGGGCCGGGGTTTAGGGTTTAGGCTTAGGGTCTAGGCTTCAGGGTTTTTCGGGCTCAACACTGTCATCATCGCAAGCATGTCGAAAGATCATATCACGGCTTCATAAAGTCTCACACAGGTTCGTAGAGGAGCCCTACTGGAGGAGATCGCCATATGGGGGTGGTATGCAACTAATCTCGGAGGCTTCTTCATTCTGCCATAGATGTGATAAGTACCAAATAGTGTCGGTAAATCTTCAGACGGTGATATATGGGGACGATACATGGCGATAAGGGTAGCCTGAGTAGTTTTAATACGGTTTTGGGGTAGATTATACTATAATTACAATAAAGAGCCTGCAAAATTGTATAGGTACTTATTGAAGCCCCTGTACTGCCAATCATTCCGAACTCCAAAGTTTGACCCACCGAGTCCGTCTGGGAAGCCTTGATTGACACAAGACCCGGAACCCTAAACCCTAGAACACCTAAACCCTAAACCCTAGAACCTCAACCCTAAACCCTGAACCCTAAGCCCTAATACCTAAACCCTAAACCCTAAACCCTAATACCTAAACCCTCAACCCTTAAAACCCGAATACCTAAACCCTAAACCCTAAACCCGAAAACACAACTCAGAAGGCCGACCCGACCACCTAAAAACCCCAAATCCGAACACCCAGACGCACGTTCGAAGAAACCCAGATAGCACCCTGACATCCCTTTAGTCGCAATTGTGACCCTATGGAACCAAACCCTAAACCCCAAAGCCCCTAAGCCCTCAATCCTAAGCCCCTACACCCTAAACCCTAAACCTTAAACCCTGACCCCTAACCCTAAACCTCAACAAAAAAAAACACTATACCGCAAACCCTTATAGTAGCCCTTATAGA